TCCATATAAGTAGGGCTGGAGTTTCTTGAGGGCCCACACTACCACCAGGCATTCTTTCTCGATGGCAGCATAGCTTACTTCCCTGGGTAGTAGTTTCCGACTTAAGTAAGTGATGGGATGTTCGCCACCATCGGCCCCGACCTGGCTCAGCACTGCTCCCAATCCAAACAAGCGTCTGTATGAACGAGAAAGCGTTTAGTTGGATCGGGAGCGGCAAGTACAGGTGCATGAATTAGGGCAGTTTTCAGTTCTTGGAATGCCTTCTCACACTCTGGGCTCCAGGTCACTACTTTGGGCAGGTTCTTCTTGGTGAGGCCAGTACAACCGGAGAGGCCCATGGGCTGAGTGTTCTATCACTCCTAGCTGTAGCATTTCGTCAATCTCCGTCCACATATGATCTTTTACAGATTCTGGTATGCGGTAGGGGGTTTGCCGAAGAGGGTGTTGCCCTGGGGTTTCTACTCTGGGTAGCCAGGGGGGTATATCCGGGCTGGTTGGAAAATGTATCCCCTTTCTCTCTGATCAGCTCTAGTATTTGAGCTCGCTCTCTAGTACTCAGCCTGTCTCCTAGCTGTACTTCCCCTAATTCTGTGTCAGGCCCCCCTTTTTCTAATAGGTCCGGTAGCGGTAAGTTGTCTGGGTCCTCGGCAGCCGAAGCACATATAGCAGTTACTTCCTCGGTCTGCTCGTGATACGGCTTCAACATGTTAATGTGGAGCATGCGTCTACCGCCCGCTCCCGTACATGGGGCAATTATATAAGTGGTGTCTGTAGCGGAGATGCAATATTACCCAGGTTATCTCCGCTTATAATCCAAGTGAGACTCAGGAACAAGTAAATAGTAAATCCAAAGGCAGGGTTTCCAGCAGGTAAAATACAGCAATATCCCAACAGCAATCCCAATAACTGGACGACACACAGTTTCAGGAGCATAACTGACAAGCCTTTAATCACAGTCTCCTTATAAAGCATGCTCCCATGCAAGGGAGGGACTTACAGTAATTATTACAGTAGCCAATTCTGTCCTGGTAACCTCCCACACATCTCCTCCCCTCAGCCAGCATCATAATCCCCTTATCCAGCACACCAATTCCCCCCATTTCTGGATGTACCCCTAAACGTAGGGGTACCTCTTTAAATCATACATCCCCTGGTAGCCCTGATCTGGGTGAACAACATATCCAAAAATCACCCAGATCAGACCAGGGGTTCGGGAAAAGTATGGAGGGAATAAAATGACCGACCGCACGAACTGAGATAGCCGAATTCGGTTCCATGTGAATGGGCCCTGCGGTCGGTCCTGGCATAAGGGAATAAAATACACGAAAACCTCTAGCTATAGAGGCTAGGGAGGGTTCGCCTGAATCCCCTCGTTCGGTATTCTCTATCTACCGAACGAGGGGCCGTTCGGTAGTTTGGAACCGAACGGACCAGGGCTGTGGAGGTCTCAGCGGTGTTCGCCTACTCGAGTGTCCGATTTTAGTTCCAGACACTCGACGGCAAAACACCGCTGTTCGGGAGTTTTAAAATGGCCGCCGCCACGTGTTCGTTTGTCGAATGGCGGCCACCCCCGAGAACAAAGGACGGCTACTTACTGTTCAATTACCCGTTCGCAACAATGTTGCAACGGGTAATTGAGGACACACTTCCCACAGGGGAGGTCTGGTTGTTCGGTAGTTTCATTCGAATAAACTAAGGGAATGAAACTACCGAACAATCAGAGGAATACAATTCTTTTTAATACACAGAACATACAGCAGATACACAGATGCAGCTTTATACAGTATTTTTGTAGGGTCGCCTGGTGCCATCCGCTACAGTCTCACATACCTGTTCCACCACTTTATAAGGGCCCTGCCATGAGGCCTGAAGTTTGTCATTTTGGACCGGCTTCAAGATTAGCACCTTTTGCCCTATTTGAAAACTGTAGTCCCTGGCTCCCCTATCGTACTATCTGCGCTGTCGTTGCTGGGCCGCCTGGAGATTAGACTGTACCGTCTGGATTAGGGTCTCCTAGCGCTCCCTGAACTCTAGCACATATGGGACGATAGGGGTACCGTTACAGGTGACAGTCCCTTCTCAGTGCTCCCTAATGAGGTCCAAGGGACCCCGCACCCTCCTTCCGAATAGTAATTTGAATGGCGAGAACCCTGTGGACTCCTGGGGTACCTCTCGGTAAGCGAAGAGCAGATGGGGGAGAAACCTCTCCCAGTCCTTCTGGGTATCCATGAACATACGGAGCATTTGCTTTAATGTTCCGTTGAAACGTTCACAGAGCCCATTGGACTGAGGGTGATACGCCGAGTTTACAATAGGTTTCACCCCACATGTTCTCCATAACTGGTGAGTGACTTCAGCCGTGAATTGGGTACCCCGATCCGAGATAATCTCCTTAGGAAACCCCATTCTGGAGAATATCCACTATAGTTTCGGCATGGATATTAGTTAGGGCCACTGCCTCTGGGTATCGGGTAGCATAGTCTACTACTGTTATGTACTTTTTCCCGGACTGACTGGGTTTTGCTAGGGGTCCAGTTATATCAACAGCTACCCTACTAAAGGGCTCATTTATTATTGGAAGGGAGTGCATTTTTGCCTTGTATCGGTCTCCTCTCTTCCCTACCCTCTGGCACGTATCGCACGTTTGGCAATATTGCCGGATATCTTTGGACACCCCTGGCCAAAAGAAGTTTTGGGTCAAACGGTGTTTCGTCCTACTGACGCCTAGGTGTCCTGACAAAGGGATGTCGTGGGCAATAC